AAGAAATAACCGAATCAATCATCATTCATGGGTTTTCTCGGCTGCGATGTCCATGGCGATTTGAACGACTCTGAGTTTAGCAAACCCTTACCTTCGATTGGCATATATGTTGCTGTAGCTTCACTCATCTGTGGACTAGCCATGGCTGCAGATCTTCTTCACGGCTTCCGACACCGTAAATTCTGGTTTCCTTGTAAGTTTTTCTCTCTCAACGCAACTTCTCTGACTTTTATCGGTGTCGGAATCAAACTCTCTGTGGATCTCAATACTTCGATGCCGAGTCGTCAGGATCAGTTAGCTAAACTCAGTAGCAGCGTCTTTGTCTGTACGGTGATGGGTAATTCGATGCCTTCTCTAGGTATAATGGACAACAAAGATCTTCTTATGAATCTCATGGCTTTAGGGATTCTTGTAATCACTGATGTTGTCAACATCTGTATCCAATTGGGTACAGGTGCGATCTATGTTTTCTCGGAAGAGCATTGTCTTGTCGTCCTTCTCATGCTTCTTATGCTTATGATCTTGAGTTTCTCGGCGACTACCGTCCCTACTACGAAGAGGATCTTGGAAAGCAAATACAAGAAAAAGTATGATGTTGCGTTGAAGTGTCCTTTGGTTACAGAGAGAACAGTAGCTAAGAGAATTCAGCAAGATTTGGCCAAATTTTGGATGATGGCTCATACCAGTAGCCCACAATTTGTGATGGGTCGTTCGGTTACGTGTACTGCTTCTGGCTTCTTCTGTCTCTTGAGTGCTACTACGCTTGGTGAAGCCATGGTTAGGACTTACTTGTTAAGACCAAGGTCACTTGGGTTTTGCCATGGACATTCTGACTATAAATGGTCAACCACTCTGGTTCTTGTTTGCCAGACTACTGCAGTAGCCATAGGGACTGTTGCACCTGCAATCAGATGGTTTACGGCTGTGAATTTCAGGTGTCCAATAAGAGGAAAGAAGTATTACAGAGATGAGTTTAGAGTAGAGAGTTACTGGACACATTGGTTCTCCGAGAAGAAACAACGTCCCTTAAGCCTTTGGATCCTCAAAGATCGCCGAAGCAGAAAAGTTGCACATGATGCAAAACGCTGGATGTTGGATGTATGTATTGCGATCCAGTATGTGATAGTGTTTGCTAGTAAAATCATCCGATACATCTCGGTCTACTGTGTGAGTAGAATCTTGGTCTGTTGTTATTTCGCCTTAAGAACAAGGGGTACCGTCTCTCACGCTGAGTCAGAATCTGGTTCAAATCCGAGCTCGAGACAGGAACTCGCGAGGTTTGTCCTGCATCTTGAAGGAGAGGACGAGCTGGTGGATTTGATGGTGCGGAACAACCGTGAGGCCACTGATCATTGGATAGAGAACGGCCGAAAGAAACAGCCGATAAATCTGATAGAGCTTTTGGAAGCAACAACATCCATTTCAAAGGGATTTGAAGGGATTAGAGAGTTTGACAGCAACGAGGTGGCTTCTCTTGCCCCTGAAGAGCCACCCAATTGTTGGGCTCTCCCACTGGTAACACTCACAAGCATCGCTGTTGCTCTTCCCAACGTGAATCCCTCCTCTCTCAAGAAGCTGCTCAATGCTGTGAATGAGGCATTGGACTATGTCAAAAAATTTGAACGCGTCCTGGATACCGGAGGAGAGTTAGCTAACCTCAGGAAAGCTGCTGAAGTAGTTTGGCTAGAAGTTGATCTCTATCATAAGTGGTTCGATGTGGATCTTCGAAAACTATCCAAACAACAAAGAAGTCCAGAAGAAACTCTCCGGGAGCTAGTGGAAATCGCAAAGAAGGAGTTCTCAGAGTCATGGAATATGAACCTGATGGTGTGCATGAAGCAAAAGCCTACTCATTGGCCCATCAAAACTCTAGCGGCTAACTCCATGTACCGAATCTCTCAAACCATTCTCCTCGATTACCAATCAAGAAACTACGGAACAGGAGAACCTCTGTTTAGAAAGCTTGAAACCACAATCTCGGACATAGTCTCAGGCTGTTTCTGCAACGTAGCGCAAGTGATATCGGCCAAGTGTTTGGTGACGGCTGTTGAAGTGAGGGAAGAATCGGTTAGAGGAGCGGCGCTGCATCTCGGAAGAACAGAGAAGATTCTTGAGATTGTAGAGAGAAGATGTTTACCTGAATTGAGATGTGATAAGATGAAAAACATCGATGAATGGAGAACATACTATAAGATCAACTCTTCAGACTGT